CACAACTTATTTCATCTCTTTTAATGACCTATCTTAATAGTCTACTCTTACTGGCTTCCTTGACGACCCACTCTTAATTGCCTCGACATATTACACTAAACAAACTCTAATCATTAAAAATGAAAATTTTCAGAATTTTAAATGCCTAAAACAAAATCAAAATCAAAATATCTTAGAGCATTTTGGTTGAGAAACAAGGTTCTTTTTTAATCCCCTGTGTGAACTTTGAACCCTTGGCCAGCCCCTGGGGGCCCTTACGAATTGCTGGGTCTTGGCCCCGAGCCAACCCAGAGGGTCCTCGTAGGAGAGTGCGTTTTGGGCCCTGAGCCAGGTTCTTGCTGTGACCTGATGCGTTCTCTGGGTTAGGACCATGCCAGGCCTGGTAGTCTGACCTGTGAACAATGCTAAAGTTAGTGAACAAGTTGCATGTGAACTAAATAAGTCATTCATGAACAAAATAAATCATACATGAACTAAATAAATCATAAGTGAAATAGGTCATTAATGAACTATTGCAAAAAATACAGTAACTATTTCTACATATGCAAAATGCAAATGAAGAAACAATTATAGAAGTGGTTCATTAATGAACCAGAAATAACAGATTTAAATTAGATAAATTTAGATTTAGAAAGGACATACGCAAGTACTGGTTTTTAAACAAAGTTGTCGATGCATGGAACAGTCTTCCGAGTAGGGTAATCGAGGCTAGGACCCTGGGTAGCTTTAAAAAGAGATTGGACAAATATATGAGCAGGAGGGGCTAGGTTTGATTGGTGTCATGGGTACAGGAGTAAATTCTTGGGTAGCTTAGGGAAGGGGTTGTTTTGTTAAGGATCTGCCTTTAATATTACCTGGGAGTACAAAAATAAAGATAATACAGTAAAAGTTCCTGATTTTTTATTCTGCCAATTATGATGGTCTTAGGGAACACCTGTGTAATCTCGATTGGGGTAATCTAACTAATGATTTTATTGACGATCATATTTACGATAACAAAGAGATCTGCATTTATAAATTTTTTCTTAATAATGTACAACATGCTCAGAGCATGTATATTCCCCAAAGATAAATTAGGTCAAATAAGAATGATCACAGATGGATTAACAATAGACTATTAGGAGAGAAAAGAGGAATTTATAGGCGCATCAGAAAAGGAGAGGTTAACCTTATTGGCCAATAACTTCATTTTAAAAGAGAAGTAAAAAAGGGGATTGGAAAGGCTAAACTTTTTTTTTTTTTCAACAAGTCGGCCGTCTCCCACCGAGGCAGGGTGACCCAAAAAAGAAAGAAAATCCACAAAAAGAAAATACTTTCATCATCATTCAACACTTTCACCACACTCACACATTATCACTGTTTTTGCAGAGGTGCTCAGAATACAACAGTTTAGAAGTATATATGTATAAAGATACACAACATATCCCTCCAAACTGCCAATATCCCAAACCCCTCCTTTAAAGTGCAGGCATTGTACTTCCCATTTCCAGGACTCAAGTCCGACTATATGAAAATGACCGGTTTCCCTGAATTCCTTCACTAAATATTACCCTGCTCACACTCCAACAGATCGTCAGGTCCCAAGTACCATTCGTCTCCATTCACTCCTATCTAACAAGCTCACACACGCTTGCTGGAAGTCCAAGCCCCTCGCCCACAAAACCTCCTTTACCCCCTCTCCACCCTTTCGAGGATGACCCCTACCCCGCCTTCCTTCCCCTATAGATTTATATGCTTTCCATGTCATTCTACTTTGATCCATTCTCTCTAAATGACCAAACCACCTAAACAAGACTATGAAATTATAGTTGCTAATGAATCAAAGACTAATCCAAAAGGTTTTTTTTCAAGTGTATAGGACAAAAGTCAGGGAAAAAAATAGGACTGCTGAGAATTGGTGATGGATAGTTGACTGATAGTGAACAGGAAATGTGTTCTCTATTTAATGGTTACTTCTTGTCAATCTTTACACAAGAAGACTTAAATGGTAAAGTGGTAAACGGTAAAGTAAGCATGAAGAGTAGTGGTAAAGTAAGCAAAATCAGCATTAGTAAAGTAGCTCAGTACCCCAAGACAGAGTTGCGACACCTTCAATATTTCTAACACACATAAAAACACTCACTACAGCTTCATATAATCATATGTGGATGATACCAAAATAAGCTTAAAGACATGGAAAAATTGTATGAAGGTTTAAGCAAAGTTTTTCAGTGAGTGGTGGAGAATAACATGATGTTCAATAGTGACAAATTTCACCTGCTTAGATATTGAAAGAATGAACAACACCAAAGGTCACAATGCAGGAGAATAATCCAATAGAGAGATCAGCACGTAGTAATGATGGGGTGAATATGAGAGCTTTCAAAACAGGAAAAATAATGTTAATGATTATTATTCAAATGACTTGTGCTCCTTTACTTAGGGTACCATACAGTGTTGACTGCTCCATCCAGGGCAGGAGAGATATCAGATCTGGAACACAGAGATCATTCACTGCTGGCATAGAGCCAATGTGGAGGAGAGAGAGAGAGAGAGACATACATGATGTATATGTGGACGATACTTGAGAGTCTAGTTCCATCATATATCATAAATATTGCTGGAACAAGAGAGGTTTTCCAGAAGAAACTGAACAACTTCCACCAAGTGCCCGATTTGTCACTGGCACAATACTTGTGTAGTATATGTGGGCCAGTGGGAAACCAGCTGCAATGACCTGGTTGACCAGCCAAGCAACAGAAGAACCTGGTCCCAGGTCCTGTTAAAATTGTAGGAAGACTGGGAGGTGAAGGAGGTTACTACTGAATACAGTAACCTTTTGGGGTCATGGTGCACCAGCTGTGTTGCAGGTAGTGATGGAGGTTACTAATGAACACAGTGAGTGTAGTAATCTCGCTGGGCCAAGATGGACCAGCTGTGGGACAGGTGGTGGTGATGATTACTAATGAACACAATGAGCGAAGTGACCTTGTGGGGTCGAGGTGAACCTCAAACATTAACAAGGGGAAACATGTCCCACCATGCATAGCTTCATGTTTCAGGTTCATTACGTAATATTACAAATAATGCATATAAATTTTCCAAGTAAATACACCTACCATCCGACTTACGACCTGCTCGAAATGCGACCACTTGACTTATGACCATGTTTTGTATGGAAAATTTCTGGGAAAAACAACTGTGTTGTACACAGTGTTTATCCTAAACCTTACAGTATAAAATACAGTACTAACAGCATAAAAAGTACAGTAAAAAATGAAATACCAAAATAAAAAATAAAATAAAATCATTACAAAAATGTGATGTTGATATTTAGTAGTAAGGTTCGACTTATGTCCATTTTGACTCACGACCGGTTGGTCGGAACCAAGCTTGGCCGTAAGTTGGATGGTAGGTGTACATTACATAAATCATCTCTAAAGCTACACCCACATAGTACCTACAATTAATGCAACATAAATCTCCATACATAGTAAAAGTATTACTTGCGAATTCATTTACACTTGTTGTACATTAACACATAATTAAGTGGTGCACTACAGTACAGTACATGGGTAGGTAGTAATTTGAAAAGTGACAAATACAGCTACGTCTCAATTAGTGCAAAAAATGAATCCTATTAAGTGGTCACATTATTCAAATTATGTGAAATTTTTGCACATGATTTGAAGAGTTTGAGGGAAAAACTAGCATTAATTACTTTCACACTAAATCAAAATTCACACTAACTGAACTCACTAATCGAGACCTGGCTGTATATAGAGACCTGGTCACTCTTAGCACATTATTATGGATATGTATTGGTCCTGGGACCATCTTCACTGCAGGTTTACTGACTGGAGTGAACAAGGTCCCAGCACCGAAACATATGCATAATAAAGTGTCCAGTCTTTGCTCGCGTGTTTGACCACAACTTGTGGGTATGGTGGCGTATCAGCAATAAACGTACAGTAGAAGGCACTCTGAAGGGCCTTTATGTAGAGTGGTGTTGGGACCGCTGGGCTGCGCTCTCTGCTCACTGCGGAACCCCAAATCCTCCTGGTCAACACTGCTACCTCCTGACACTCTGAAAATACACAGATAAATGATCTCCCATCAAGATACCTCTCATACAAGTATGATGCACCTGATTATTTGCACCATACCTTATGTTGCATCAATTTATTGTGCTGTACTTCACTTTACACCAGATTATTGAACCATAACCTGTCACAGAATCCACACACAGGAGAGGAACTCCATGACCACAAATATGTATACATAGACATTAACCCTTTCAGGGTCCCCAGGCCCTCTCGCAGATTTGTTCTCAGGGTCGCCCAAATTTCAAAAAAAAAAAAAAAAAAAAAAAAAATTTCTTATGAAAAGATAGAGAATCTTTTCCCGATCATAATGACACCAAAAGTATGAAATTTCATGGAAAACTTAAGGAATTATGCTCTCGCGAAGTTAGCGGGCTCGACAATGTTTACATATTGGCGATTTTGCCCAATTTGAGCCCCATTTTCGGCCAATTCCAGTGCACTAGTCGATAAAAATCATAAATATTTCGCTAGAACTCCATTTTTTCTATCAAATAAGTACAAGAAACCACCCATTTACCGATTTCAACTATCCAATAAAGTGGTCAGAATTTAGCAATTTTGCCAGTTTCACACAAATTTCAAAAGATGCCAATTTTCAAATAGGGTCCAGAATAAACAAGAAAGACATTCCTGGCACTAAAATAACATTTCCTCTGTTCATTAGTCATGTCCCCACACCCCTTTTACATTACTGTATTTTGCTTTCCACTTTGAATTTTTATTCTCACAAAAAATAGAAGATTTACTGTTATGCAGACTACTGCATTAGTGTAGAAATGGTATAAATAATATCAGCGCACTTGTGAAAGAATATTAGACTCACCAGTTGACATGTATTGGACGCTTAGCATGATTTGTTTACTTTTGAATTTTGGTAAAAATCGAACATTTCTGCTACTTTGAGCTCAATTTCAAGGTACTTTTCATTGTAAAACCAGTCAAAATCATTTCAATTTCTGTAACATGTCTTCCATTCTATAAAATGAGACCAGGAAAACTAGAATACAACAATAAATACCATACGAAAATACAGTGCAAAGTCGGTTTTAATCCAAAAACACGGTCAAAGTTTTTTTTTTCTCATTACACACTGTGTGCTTCAGGATTTTTTTATACTGTGCACACTGACCACATAGACCCATTCTTTCACATGTAGGCCTACCAGCTTTCTCTCACTAGATTTGAGGGCATTAGAATTTAGGCATACTAGTACGTCAAAAACCCTGGTGTGTAAGCTGTACTAGTACGTCCGAAACCCTGAAAGGGTTAAATGGACGTATAATAAAAATAATTTTATTGAACATACACACACAAACATGACCTTAGGGTCCGTGCCGTTGTTCTATGGCTATGAAGCCAGGGTCCGTGGCTTTGTTCTACGCCATGAGCTCAGCTCTCAGGTAAGCTGAGAGGTAAATTTGGGCCTAGATATGAGAGAATGTGTTTATGTGGTAAGTGTACACCACATAAAAAAAATCCTACAGCACGCAGAGCATAATGAGAAAAAACTACGACCATGTTTTTGGTTTAAAACAGCAACCTTGTGGTGTATTTTGATATGTATTTTATGGTTGTATTCATGGTTTCTTGCTTTCATTTAATATAATGGAAGATATGTTACAGAAATAGATATAGTTTTAATTGGTTTTAGGATTGAAAATAGCTTGAAATTGAACTCAAAGTAAGGGAACTGTTAGATTTTTTCCAATGTTCAAGAGTAAACAAATCACATCACTCGTCCAATACATGTCATCTGGTGGGTATAATATGCACTCATAAATGCATTGATATTATTTATATAATTATTACAATATTGCATAAAAGTAAATCTATTTTTTTTGCGTGAATAAAATATCTAGAGGAATTCATGTGTAAAGCCTGGGAACATAACTAATGAACAGAGGAAATTTTATTTTAGTGCCAGGAATGCAGTAGCGTTATTTCGCCAATTTTCCATCAAATTTTGTTTTATTACCATTGGAAAAGATTATCTACCATTTCATATGAATAAAATTTTTTTTTTAAATTCTTGGACCCTGTGGACAAGTTTCCGATCAGGAGCCTAGACCCTGAAAGGGTTAAAGGTACAGCAAGTTAAATTCTAACCAAATCAACTATATTCTTAAGTACATTTGTTTTTTAATGCTATGTTAAGTGACATTTAATACAGCAACTCAAAAACTCACTACAGTACTGTAGTATCAATAAGGTTAACTACAATACTATACTGTAGCATCAGTAAGGTTCACTATAGTACTGTACTGTAGCATCAGTAAGGTTAACTACAGTACTGTACTGTAACATCAGTAAGGTTCACTACAGTACTGAACTGTAACATCAGTAAGGTTCACTACAGTACTGTACTGTAACATCAGTAAGGTTCACTACAGTACTGTACTGTAACATCAGTAAGGTTCACTACAGTACTGAACTGTAGATCAGTAAGGTTCACTACAGTACTTAACTGTAACATCAGTAAGGTTCACTACAGTACTTAACTGTAACATCAGTAAGGTTCACTACAGTACTTAACTGTAACATCAGTAAGGTTCACTACAGTACTGAACTGTAGATCAGTAAGGTTCACTACAGTACTTAACTGTAACATCAGTAAGGTTCACTACAGTACTGTACTGTAGCATCAGTAAGGTTCACTACAGTACTGTACTGTAACATCAGTAAGGTTCACTACAGTACTTAACTGTAACATCAGTAAGGTTCACTACAGTACTGTACTGTAGCATCAGTAAGGTTCACTACAGTACTGTACTGTAGCATCAGTAAGGTTCACTACAGTACTGTACTGTAGCATCAGTAAGTTCACTACAGTACTGTACTGTAACATCAGTAAGGTTCACTACAGTACTGCACTGTAGCATCAGTAAGGTTCACTACAGTACTGTACTGTAGCATCAGTAAGGTTCACTACAGTACTGTACTGTAGCATCAGTAAGGTTCAGTACAGTACTGTACTGTAGCATCAGTAAGGTTCACTACAGTACTGTACTGTAACATCAGTAAGGTTCACTACAGTACTGTAACTGTAGCATCAGTAAGGTTCACTACAGTACTGTACTGTAGCATCATAAGGTTCACTACAGTACTGTACTGTAGCATCAGTAAGGTTCACTACAGTACTGTACTGTAACATCAGTAAGGTTCACTACAGTACTGTACTGTAAAATCAGTAAGGTTCACTACAGTACTGTACTGTAACATTCAGTAAGGTTCACTATAGTACTGTACTGTAACATCATAAGGTTCACTACAGTACTGTACTGTAACATCAGTAAGGTTCACTACAGTACTGTACTGTAACATCAGTAAGGTTCACTACAGTACTGTACTGTAACATCAGTAAGGTTCACTACAGTACTGTACTGTAGCATCAGTAAGGTTCACTACAGTACTGTACTGTAACATCAGTAAGGTTCACTATAGTACTGTACTGTAACATCAGTAAGGTTCACTACAGTACTGTACTGTAACATCAGTAAGGTTCACTACAGTACTGTTACTGTAGCATCAGTAAGGTTCACTACAGTACTGTACTGTAGCATCAGTAAGGTTCACTACAGTACTGTACTGTAACATCAGTAAGGTTCACTACAGTACTGTACTGTAGCATCAGTAAGGTTCACTACAGTACTGTAACTGTAGCATCAGTAAGGTTCACTACAGTACTGTACTGTAGCATCAGTAAGGTCACTACAGTACGTACTGTAACATCAGTAAGGTTCACTACAGTACTGTACTGTAAAATCAGTAAGGTTCACTACAGTACTGTACTGTAACATCAGTAAGGTTCACTATAGTACTGTACTGTAACATCAGTAAGGTTCACTACAGTACTGTACTGTAACATCAGTAAGGTTCACTACAGTACTGTACTGTAACATCAGTAAGGTTTTACTACAGTACTGTACTGTAGCATCAGTAAGGTTCACTACAGTACTGTACTGTAACATCAGTAAGGTTCACTATAGTACTGTACTGTAACATCAGTAAGGTTCACTACAGTACTGTACTGTAACATCAGTAAGGTTCACTACAGTACTGTACTGTAACATCAGTAAGGTTCACTACAGTACTGTACTGTAGCATCAGTAAGGTTCACTACAGTACTGTACTGTAACATCAGTAAGGTTCACTATAGTACTGTACTGTAACATCAGTAGGTTCACTACAGTACTGTACTGTAACATCAGTAAGGTTCACTACAGTACTGTACTGTAGCATCAGTAAGGTTCACTACAGTACTGTACTGTAGCATCAGTAAGGTTCACTACAGTACTGTACTGTAACATCAGTAAGGTTCACTATAGTACTGTACTGTAACATCAGTAAGGTTCACTACAGTACTGTACTGTAACATCAGTAAGGTTCACTACAGTACTGTACTGTAACATCATTAAGGTTCACTACAGTACTGTACTGTAACATCAGTAAGGTTCACTACAGTACTGAAACTGTAACATCAGTAAGGTTCACTACAGTACTGTACTGTAACATCAGTAAGGTTCACTACAGTACTGTACTGTAACATCATAAGGTTCACTATAGTACTGTACTGTAACATCAGTAAGGTATCACTATAGTACTGTACTGTAACACCCATAAGGTTCACTACAGACTGTACTGTAGCATCAGTAAGGTTCACTACAGTACTGTACTGTACATCAGTAAGGTTCAGTACAGTACTGTACTGTAGCATCATAAGGTTCACTACAGTACTGAACTGTAACATCAGTAAGGTCACTACAGTACTGTACTGTAACATCAGTAAGGTTCACTACAGTACTGAAACTGTAACATCATTTAAGGTTCACTACAGTACTGAACTGTAACATCAGTAAGGTTCACTACAGAACTGTCTGTAACATCAGAAAGGGTTCACTACAGTACTGTACTGTAGATCAGTAAGGGTTTTCACTACAGTACTGTACTGTAAACATCATTAAGGTTACTATAGTCTGTACGT